ATCATGAAAGATGGAGCAAGCATTTAGAATTTTGTTTTAATCTGTGTTTGGATGTGTTGCCCAATCTGGTCTTGAATTCTTGGGCTCAAGTGCTCTGTTCTGAGCTTTCTAAGTAACTGGGACTGAGGGCACCTTCTATCCTGTATGACTAGAAGTTTTAGAAGTTGATTTTGTATTTGAGGATTAATGGAAATTAAATAAAAATTTAAAAATACAGTGTTTAAACTTTTGGGCTCTAGAGTATCCATGCCATTAAGAAACAATTTTAGGGCAGGCAGTGGTAGAGCTCGCCTTTGATCCCAGCAAGAGGGAGGCAGAAGCAGGTGGGTCTCTGTGAGTTTGAGGCCAGCTTGGTCTACAGAGGGAGTTCCAGGACAGCCAACGCTACACATAGAAACCCTGTCTTGAAAAACCAAAAACCAAACAAAATGAAAAAAATTTTTTAGCAAGGCATCGTGATACATGCCTTTAATCCTAGCACTTGGGAGACTGGCTTGTTGGTTTCTGTGAGTTTGAGACCAGCCTGCTGTATGTGCTGATTTTAGAAACCATACAGTTATGGGAAATTATCATCTTCAGATATAATTTTCTTTTCTTTTGTTATTTTCTTTATCTGAAAAAGACCATACTTTTACAATTAATTTTAGCAATTAATTAAAAAAATAGCATCCAAAATGGTGGGTTTCATTATGGCATTTTATATATATATATATATATATATATATATATATATATATATATATATAAAACTACTTTCAGATTATTTTTTATTAAAAAGATACCATTGAGTATCAAAAAGTACAATAAAAAGATATTACTCAGATACATGACATATTTATTTTTAAAAACTGAAGAGAAATGTATATGTATTTATAGTTAGATCAGTGTTCCCACATTAGAGAAAGGAAAAGAAGTTAAGCTTTGCCTCTGAAAATTTAGTGACTATAATGTGCTGCACAGTTTCTCTCTCTCTCTCTCTCTCTCTCTCTCTCTCTCTCTCTCTCAGGCTTAAAAAAAAGAAAAAGGTGAATGCCCTTGTTCTTGATTTTAGTGGAAATGGTTTTGAGTTTTTAATAGTTAGTATAATTAATGTTGGCTGTTCATTTGCCATATATATCTTTGAAGTTTTTGTTGTTTTTGTTTTTTTATTTCCCTTGTCTTTTCAGGGCTTTTGTAAAGGGGTGTTGGATATTGTCAGAACTCTCTTTTACATCTGGTTAGGTGAAACTATGACTTTTTTCCTTGAGGCCATTGCTCATCACATATATTGACTTACCTGTGTTGAACCATCCCTGCCTCTGCCATGAAGCCAACTTGCTCATGGTAGATGATCTTTTTGGTGTGTTCTTCAATTCTGTTTGTAGATATTTTATTGATAACTTTTGATCTATGTTTAGCAGGGAAGTTGGTCAGTATTTTTTTATTTTTTGTTATGTCTTTATAAAAAGAGTTTGGTTGTGTTCCTTCCATTCGTGTTCTGTGGAATAGTTTGAGAAGCATTAGAAGCCATTGCTGTGGAGCTGCTAATTCTTGGAGGAGTCCTGTTGCCTTGAGTTTTCATGTTTTTGTTTTTTTGTTTTAGGACTTGAACATCTGGGGTTAGGGCATTGGTCGGGTTTTTTTGTTGTTAGGCTTTAATCCCCTTATTTTTTCAGCGGAACTGCTTGTAGTGTTCAGAAGGAACTGGATTGTTAGGTTGAAGTGCCTTTGTCTGCTAGAGTGGTGTCTAGCTTCAGTCTCAGTACTTCCTCTGAGCAGAACTGACCATCGAAACAATCATTTTCCATTTATTCCAGTTTCAGCTCCCATTGCATTCCTTCTCTGGCTCCCAGATGCCTTAGACATGCTGTTTGATCTGCAAATTGGTTTTCCTTTTTGAGCTTTTACCAGTCTCTGATAACATGAACCTCCCTTCGTTAGTGTGCTGGTCTTGCATGTAAGACAGGAAGGGACTCATTTGGAGTCTGCAGTCTCATTCTCTGAGCAACTACTATAGGTTTAAACAGAACTTTATTCCTGATGTTCTTTCTTCTTAAAATGTAATGTTTATTTGAAGGGAGCAGTTATGCCACTATTCCAGTAGCACTGACTTCTAGCTCATTTTTCTAAATTGATTTAGAAGTATGTATATATAATATCTATACATAAAACCAATTTAGAAAAAAATACATATATTGCTTTTTAGTTGGTTTTGGTCAATATCTTCTAGAAGATTCCATAGTTTAAAAGTATATACATCAAGCCATATTTCTATTTCAACAATTATTGTCTGGTTTGGTTTACCTAAATAAGCTATAGTACAAAGATTTGATAACTGCAACTCTGTATTCTTACTTGTAAACATTCTGTTTGCTTGCCCAGTACTTTGAAAGTACTTTGCATAGCAATAAATGTGGCAGGTATATTTATATAAATTGGCTGGACACAGTTGTTAAGCTCTGTCATTCCTTTTCTAGACTTTGTTGTATTCAGAAACATTATTTTAATAAATAATATGCATTGCTAAAGTGCTCCTGAGTTATACTATTCTATTTCTGTATACCTCAAATGAGGAACTGACCCAGAAGGTCATTAGAAATTATTGGTATTTTTATTGATTTTCTTTGGTACTTAAACATATTAGGAAAGTCTATTTTAAGAAACTAAATAAAGATTAGATGTTGCTTTTTGATAACTGTTTACTTCTTTGGTATTTTCACAGTGTTCGTTAATAATTGTTAACCAATGAGTTAGATGACAGTGCTCTATTGGAATCAGTTAAATCACATGATATTTATGAAGAAAGATAAGTTTGCATTAAATTATATTAGATTGTGCCTTAAATATGAGGAGCTATTGAATACTTCTTAATCTAGCTATTTTAAGTAATATAAAATTTTCTTTTTTAAAGTTTTCTTTTTGCTCAGAATTCTTAGGTTTTTAGGTTTTTTGTTTTGTTTACTCATTTAAAAATTATTTATTTATTTATTTTTTAAAAGTATGTTTATTTCTTTTTTTCTCTCTCTTTATTAATTACACTTTATTCACTTTGTATCCCCCCCCCCAGGTTCCCTCCCTCCTCCCGTCCCAATCCCTCCCTTCCTCCACCCTCTGCATGCATGCCTCTCCCCAAGTCCACTGATAGGAGAGGACTTCTTTTCCTTCCTTCTGATCCTAGTCAATTAGGTCTCATCAGGAGTGGCTGAGTTGTCTTCTTCTGTGGCCTGGTAATGCTGCTTCCCCCTCAGTGGGAGGTAATTAAAGAGCAGGCCAATCAGTTCATGTCAGAGACAGTCCCTGTTCCTATTACAATGGAACCCACTTAGATACTGAACTGCCATGGGCTACATCTGTGCAGGGGTCTTAGATTATCTCCATGCATAGTCCTTGGTTGGAATAGCAGTCTCAGGAAAGACCCCTGTGCTCAGATTTTTTGGTTTTGTTGCTCTCCTTGTGGAGTTCCTGTTCTCTCCAAATCTTACTGTTTCCCACTTCTTTCCTAAGATTCCCTGTACTCTGCCCAAAGGTTGCCCATAAGTCTCAGCATCTACATTGATAGTCTGCAGGGCAGAGCTTTTCAGAGGTCCTCTGTGTCAGGCTCCTGACTTGTTCCCTCTTTTCTCCTTCTTCTGATGTCCAGTCTCTTTGCCTTTCTGGATAGGAATTGAACTTTAGCAAGAGCCCTCCCTCTTATTTACTTTCTTTAGGTGTACAGATTTTAGTAGGTTTATCCTATATTATATGTCTATATGAGTGAGTATATACCGTGTGCATCTTTTTATTTTATGAGAATTTGTGTTTTGCCTGCATTTATGTCTGAGGGTGTCAGATCTTGATGTTCCAGACAGTTGTACACTGCCATGTGGGTGCTGGGATTTGAACCCAGTCCTCTGGAAGAACCATCAGTGCTCTTAAACACTGAGCCATCTCTCCAGCCCTGTTTGTTCTTTTTTTTTTTTTTTTTTTTTTTAAGGCAGGCTCTGTATGTAGCCCTGGCTGGCCTGGAACTAGCTATTTAAACCAGGCTGGCCTCAAACTCAGAGATTCGCCTACCTCTGTCTCCCAAGTGCTGGGATTAAATCATGTAACACCATGCCTTGTTTGTTTTAAAGGTTGTTTTAGAACATGGTATTCCTCCTCCTTCTTCTCCTCCTCCTACTCCTTCTCTTTCTTGTTCTTTTCTTCCTCCTCCTCCTTTTTCTCCTTCTCCTTCTCCTTCTCCTTCTTCTTCTTCTTCTTCTTCTTCTTCTTCTTCTTCTTCTTCTTCT